AGGGTAGAGGGACAGCACAGGAGCGGAAGACCCTCTATGAGGTGGATTGATTCAGTGACTGGGGTAATCGGGATGGGTGTGTCAGAGGCAATGCAACTGGCACAGGATGGAGCAGGGTTTAGGGCTGTTGTACATAGGGTCGCTATGAGTCGCAAATGACTCGACGGCACATAACAACAACAACAACAAGCCTTACTGAGAATATCTTGGTTCAAAATGACAATGTGCTTACCTACCTGCAGGTGGATTTCAATTTGAAAGGTAACTATTGTGTGTACCCAGTCAGAACTGACCCATAACCGACCCTCCAGCATGTTTCCAGAGGCAGCAAATTGCTCAGGGCAGGACTGTCCATCTTTCTCTCAGGGAGCAACTGGTAGATTCAAACTATGGACCTTTGGGTTGGCAGTACAATTCTTCACCACCACTACACCACCAGAGCTCTCTGTTACAAGGTAACAGCTTAGGAAAAGGTTTTTTAGAGCCAACACTTTCATCTTGTTGCAAGAAGCAGAAATACTTAATCACAATTACACTTTCATCTCCTCTCAAGAAGGAGAAATACTTAATTACAATTTAAGTTTGCCCATGACTACCTACCCCCCCTTTGAGTGAGTTTACAAATTCTATTGGTTTTCCATTCTTATACACTTGTTTTATAACACTGTAATTACAATTCCTTGAACTACTTTTGTTTACAATACAAACACAGGAGTGTTTCCCTAAGCCTCCCACATCAACTATCAACAAGGAAAATCTGTTTCTCTAAAACCACAAACTACTCTTCTAATTCACAGAACACTGAGTTGGTTACATACTGTTCTCTGAGGAAAGCAGGGAGACAGATCATCTCCTGGGCCACTGGGTGAGCGCTTCCAGAACACTTACATTAAGGGCAGATACTCACATCTTTGTTCTCAAGAATCTCCTGTTTAGCTTCAGGCTCAACTTCAACAAACTCAGCTTCTTCTCCTAACGCTCCAAAATCAGGTCCACCTACAGGAAGAGGCTCCAGACTCTGAAATAGAAGAGGGAAAGGGAACCATAGATCAAAAGTGTAACATGGGCAAACAATCTTTAACTTCTATCTCTGGACCATGCTCCACAGAATTCAGGGTACCCACTGGCATTTACTAGCAGAGTTAGGTTCCAAAGACCAGGCAGTGATGGGAAATGTGTATTATGCAAATAGAAGATGGTCAGAGCAGACCACAACTGGAACATGATGAGAGGACAACATTACACAACAGCCAGACCGTGAGAATACTGGCCCTGCCACACTGACACCTAACCGTAACGGCCACAGACCTCATCGCAGGCATTCATTACTGCCACACACGTCAGTCATTCATTACTGCCACACGCATGTCAGTAATGGGCAAAACAGATTCCCCCCCACTATTGTTGTAATATCAGCTATTATTGTTGATATCACATGCAAGCAAGATTCTGCTGAAGACTGTCCAAAAACGACTGGAATAGCACATCAACAGAGAACTGCCTCAAGTGCAGGCTGGGTTTGGAAGAGGCCCTGGCACTAGGGATGTTATAGCTAATGTTAGATGCATCTTGGTTAAAAGCAGAGAGTACTAGAGAAATGTCTGTGTTTCATTGACTATGCAAAGGCATTTGACTGTGTGGATCACAACAAACTGTAGTTGACTCTGAAAAGAATGGGAATCCCAGAACACTTGATTGCACTTATGTGAAACCTATACTTAGACCAGGAGGCAGCTGTCAACAGAGGAAGGAAACACTGCATAGTTCAAAATTGGGAAGGACATACGCCAGGGATGCATCCTATCTCCATACCTTTTCTTTTTTTTT